CCGGGGGGGGGGGGGTACACAGTCTACATTCAGTAACATGAAGAAAAAAAAGAGTCCATAGACAATTTATTCAGAATTAAGAAATATGTTGTACTGTACAATTTCAAATGATATTCAATGTCGCAATACTCCCAGCGGATGGGAATGATGCCACTAAAGTCAGTTAATGACGCAAGATTTCGTTTTGATATTACCAGGCTTTGACTTGCACTGTGTTGTCTGCTGATAAGCGGTTAATGTCAGGTATATCTGGGATCACTTGACTGTCGACATGTTGAGGCGTGTGACTATGAATTTACCTGTAAGATGGCACAACTCAGCCACAGGCTTGAGTTTTGAAAGTGGATTTGTGTTAAAAAAGACAGGGATGTTGAAATCACACAGTACCGGCTGTGTCCCCAGACTCAGTGCCATGTGGAAGCCTTCCACTGTGTTTGCTATCTTTGAAAACCAGCTCTGTTTACGTTAACCCCCTCTCTCTCCCATGCGTCGTCTTCTTCATGCCCGACCCCTGCCCTACTGAAAAGCAACGCTGTCTTTTTTTCTGTGGTTCTGAGAAACGAGGCAAACAAGTTTACAAAACCTGCGTGCTGTACAACATTCAAGTGGTTTCAGATCAAACTGTGACTCTATGTCGATATCAGAAAACACTGGCTGAATAGGTTTTAATTTAGGTTTGTCTCTCAGAGCTAAGATGGGATCATTTTCTCTTTTGTGTTTCTCTCCCATTATCTGTATGTCCCATTACCTGTATGTATGTATGTATGTCCCATTATATGTCTTTATACTGCATTTACCCATACTCTTTACCTATAAAAGAGTGGTCAAGACTTGAGTCGAACACAGTTTGTACCAGGATTATGATATATGTTTAGTGTCATTATAAACAAAGAATATCATCTATTTTGCATACATGTCTTTACTTACAACCTCTTTTATTGCAGAATGAAGCTTTAGCCTCTGCATGACAAGCTATGACCAACATTAGACCCTAGACCTCCAATTACAAAGCCAGGACTCGAGAATGAAGACCAAATATGCAATTGTCTTCATCTGCATCGTGGCCCTGGTCATCATCGAAAAGGAAAGCAACATCCTGTCAAGGTAAGAGATCAAACTTCTGCAGAAATTTCGGTGGAAGTGTGTCCTAGTGGCTAGAGACTGTCTTGTAAACTGAGCTGAGAGTTGGATAAAAAGATTGATACCACTCCCATATGACATAAAACGAAAAACAGGAGGACGCAGCGAGCCTGGCTATGTTAATCCTTACTTTACAGAAACCGAAAAATGACAGAGACCTGAGCAGTGGATGTTACTTTTGGAGAAGGCAATAACATCCACTGCCCCATTTCCAGCTAAGCTAACCAACTGCTGGCTGTAGCTTCGTATGTATGCACAGACATGACATTGATATCAATCTTCTCATCTAACTAAGAAAGCAAATAAGTGTATTTCCCAAAATATCAAACTATTCCTACAAAGGAAAGAGCAAACATACTGTAGCTCCATATAAAAGTGGCAGCTAAATTCAACATGTAAAACTATTTAATATATTTATACTCCTTCATCCGTAGTCAATTGACAGGTATTAATCAAGCCTCTGTATCTAATCAGGGTCTCCGATAAGCTGATCCAGAGGCAGACTCCGCAGCAGACGCCACAGACTCCACTGGATTACAGCAACACAACACAAAATGGCTCCTTGACGGTGCTCAAAATGCTGCTCTCTAAACTCACTGGTACAAAAGGGAATTACTCAAATCTCTCTGAGGAGCAAGTGGAGGAAGATCTAGATGATTTAGGCCTGTACAACTACAGCGGTGGCCGTAAGCACATATTACTCTTGGCCACCACACGGACAGGTTCTTCGTTTGTGGGTGAATTTTTCAACCAGCACGGGGAGAACATGTTCTACCTATTTGAACCTTTATGGCACGTCGAGCGCATGCTGACCATGGCCACAGAGGCAAACAACGGGACAGTGTTGGCAGGAATCTACCGGGATGTACTCCAAGGGCTTTTCCTGTGTGATTTCTCTCCTCTTGAGAAGTTCATCTCTCCCCCACCTCAGGACCACGTAACCCCAGCTCTTTTCCGTAGAGAGTCTAGTTTATCGCTCTGTGAAGAACCTGTCTGCTCTCCTGTAATCAAAGATGTCTTTGAGAGGTATTGTCAATTCTCTTGATACTAAAATTGAACTGAACTGTGATACTGTTGCAAAGAGGGAGGGGCTATTAGTTCTCACACTATTTGTTATCCCGCTGTAAGTTCCTGTCTGAAAGCTTTTTTTAATAATATTATAAATGTACCTGTGAGCCTCAGCCTATGTTGCTAGTTGCAGAACTTTAGCACATTCAGAACGCTTTTTCAGTACAATTGGGAACAAAACATGGCACCATAGTTGTTGAATTCATCCGACATTGATTCCAAATTAAAAGACAAAGTCATTTGAAGACATCACCCTAAAATTCCAGAAATTGTGACAGCTTTTCTTACTGAAATGCCCTATGGGAGTCATAGTTGACCTCACCCCTTACGTTTTTATTCCCACGGTATACCTTTTGATTATACGTCAAAAAAATCAGGCATGTCTTATCTTTTGTATTGATGATTCAACCATGAAAGCTTCAAGCCCATACAAGCTTTTTAACTCTTCCAAGGAAACCTAGATGAAATAAGTCCTCCCACTTTGCAACTCTTTGAAAGATATTTGCAATAACTATACAACTCTTGTCTTAGATATCACTGTAAGACTCGTCGCTGTGGGCCACTGAACTTGACCCTCGCATCTGAATCCTGCCTTTCCAAGCAACACCATGCCATTAAAACTGTCCGTGTACGCCAGCTGGAAACATTGCAGCCTTTGGTGGAGGATCCTCGCTTGGATGTGAGGGTGATCCAGTTAGTCCGAGATCCACGGGCCATCTTAGCATCCCGCATGGTGGCTTTCTCTTCGAAGTACCAGACGTGGAAGGCCTGGGCGCAGGACGGCCAGGTGCCTGAAGATGACGAGGAGGTGAAAAGGCTCAAAGGGAACTGTGACCAAATAAGGATGTCTGCAGAGGTGGGACTGAGCAGACCTCGCTGGCTGAGGAACCGCTACATGTTGGTGCGTTATGAGGATATTGCCCGCTACCCCATGCAGAAGGCAGAGGAGATGTACAGGTTCACAGGGATACCGTTTAGTCCCCAAGCTAGGGAGTGGATTCTGAGGAACACCCAGACCACACAGGAAGCTAGCGGGATTTATTCCACCCAGAAGAACTCATCAGAGCAGGCAGAGAAGTGGAGATTTAGCATTCCCTTTACACTGGCTCAGGTAGTGCAGAGAGTGTGTGGACCCACCATGAAGCTGTTTGGGTACAGATTTGTGGATGATGAAAAGGCACTGATCAATAAATCCATCAGTTTGCTTGAGGAGCATCCATTTCATTAATTTAGAGGGCAGAAATGTAGCTGTGAATCTGCAAAACCCTGCACACAGTGGATCGGAGCCAGGAGAAGCCATTATTGCACAGACCAAAAGTAATACACAAAGGTGCCAAAAGACACAAAATATTTTACTGGTGACAGTAAGATTTGGGCCATATAATATTATTCATACTCACCAACGATGTGCCTCATTGTAACAATGAAGAGCCACTTGATAAAGAGAACTATTTATTTGCATACTGTGTTTACTGAGAAGCCTGGTATCTAAGCTTTATGTCTGTATTTCATTTAAAATGAAATAAGCATAGATGTCAAGCCTGACTTGTAAGAGATTATTATGTAAGATTTTATTGATAGTTGCTAATGTTTAGATTTTCAGGGATAAACTACAGTGAAAGTGAAAGTGGTATGTGTTTTGTTTGTGTGTGTGTTTGTGCCTGAAAGAGAGGATGATCATAGGGTTTATAATGCTAGCGCTTAATTCTGCATAGTTCAGCTTGTAGTTTTATAGATCTGCACTAGACTAGACAGTTGATAGAATCACTTTAAATTAGACCTGATGTGCTTTTTTTAGGGCTTACCATAGCCGACCCAGGTATAATGGATGTGGGATTGCATTTTGTGATGTGTTGTCTTCATGAGGAGTCTTCATGAGGAGTATTCTTGGCAAAAGCAATTTAAAGCCATTCTCTTCTAATGTAATTCAGGAGTTTATAATACAACTACAATATACCATAAAAAAAGGCCAGTTAAGACAGAGATATTGAGATTTTATATATATATACACACACACATATAGAATAAATATATCTTACTTCAACACATAACATTTTCCCAGTACTGCATACCTGTAGTAATGTATTTCCCCATAATGTCTCCTCACCTCATAGTAAACAGGCAGCCTGGGTGTCATTTTACAAATTCTTCTCTCTGTTAATAACTTGCTGCTCCTGTCGGCAGGCTCCTCTAAATCTCACAATGTTAAATCAGAGATGATTCACTCATTTCAGTGTTCATGGACGCATTAACAAAACTCTTGTACAAGGAGGCATTTTAATCACTTCCCAACTCAAAGAAATAAAATCCCCAGAAATATTCTGACCACCAAAATTCAAGATAGAAACCCTTTAAAATTATTAGTTGTGAGATTTGTGTATGTTAATGGGTTTTGGTGAGAACTAATGTATGAGATGTAAACATGTAACTGTATTAATGTGGCCTATCACTTTAAATGAAACCCAGGTGCTGTTGCGTTAACTGTCACTCTTGATGGTATATAAAGGTATCCACTGTGACTCTAGTTCAATGGCAGCATTGTGTTCAGTTTGGCCGAGGCTTTGCTGAAACTGCCACGCCGCTCATGAAAAGGGATATGCATTAGAGGAACATATAGTAGTGGGCTTATACTAACTTAGTGTTTAAAACATAAATATGAATTCATTATAAATGGCAGGCCTCGAGCTGCCCAGACTCAGTACTGAAATGTTTAAGCAGGAATACTTTGAAATACCAAGTACAGCTGAAAAAATGGGTGTAGTCAATTTGTGCAAAAGAGTGGCAATAATCATATGAGAGCAATACATTTTGCTTCTGCCATAAAGGTATATGTTTGACTGTAAAATGTTGGTGGTTCAACCTTCATAGAGAACTGATGCTATTGCCAACTTGAATTAAATGTTTTCATGGTGGAAAAAAGTATCAAAATATAAGTAACAGAGCTGTTTTTGAGTCTTTTAGAAGCAAGTCCAAGTCAAGTCTCAGTTCCTTGAGGAAAGGTTTAGTCACAACCCGTCATCAGCTAATTACTTGCACGTCTTTCAGGTCTCTAAATGCTAAACTAATAAAATGCCATAGTATTTGAATTTTTTTTAAAATATATACATATTTTTTAATTTCTTTTTTTGGTGCTTTTTGCTTTTATTGGATAGTACAGCTGAAGATAGACAGAAAAGGGGGAGAGAGAGGAGATGACATGCAGCAGAGGGCCACAGGTCAGATTCAAACTAATGGCCTACATGGGGCACCAGCTCTACCAGGTGAGCTATCAGGGCCGCCCCCTATAGTGAGTTATGTGAATCCTTTCAACACATAATGATTAAACATTCAGGGCTTGATTTTACTACCAAAACCTAATACATTAATATTTTGCTTGCAAGTCAATAGTCAAGTCATCAGTGAGTCAAGTCTCAAGTCCTTCTGTTCATTCAGCTCAAATAAATGAGGTGCTTCTGTGACAAGTCATCACCCTTTTCAAACTAAGCTGAGCTGTTCATAATTACTCAGCATCTCTGTGTAGGTTTTTAGTGATATATAATAAAAAGGAATAATTTTGCCTCAGTAGGGTTCAAAAAATTGGGCTCTCAAAATAAAATGCCATATTCAGGTCAGATAATTCTGTTGAGAATACTGTATATAGCCACATTTTAGAAAAATAATTAGTGCTTGGAACAAATTGAGCGTACAGATAGACAGCGGAGAACTTCATTATGCTGTAGGAGTGGTTTGAGATATTTCTTTGGAAGTTGTGGTGTGAAAACTTGGCACCATTGTAACTGAGATGAATTTTAAGCTGACCACAGCTGCTGTTTTCTGTGAAGAAGCCCACTTCAGAATGTTTAGGACTATAAAGTGTTTTCAGAAGAAAATCACTTTAAAGGACTCTCACTGAGGCAGTGAGTTATTTTGTTTTCTATCATCACAAAATAATTTTTCAGCAATTCAAGGATCCAAAATAAAAATCTATTTCTTGCTGTGTTGATGTAAAATGGTGTTACAGTTTGCTGAAATACATTGGTAATGTTAACCCAAGGTGTTCCAGTGTTTAAAAATCCCATCAACTGTCCAGCAGAAGAACTGGAACAGCACTGTGTTTATAGTATTCTCTTTATGTTAAGACTTATATGATGTTTGTGTGTTTGTATTTTATGTGTTGGGTAAATAAGACTTGAATATTAGCGTAAATGCTTTGCCTTTTATAAGCGCAAAACTGACCAGTGGTGGCTTTCTGTATGTCAGTATACAGTGCATCTCCTTTTAAAGACTTTTTATTTGAAAAACTTGATTACAGATAACCCAGATTCCACAACAAATATTTTTCTTATCAGTGTATTTGTTGAGCAATGGAGTTCACAGAGCCTGAGGAGGACATGGATAACACGAGGATTAATGTGGGATTGTTTACTTAGGGGCATTTTCTCAGTCTAGCACTACATCCACATGCATGCTGTTGCCAGGGATCCCCTAAAAGGCTGAGTCGGAATAACTAGAGAAAAAAGGCAGAAACAGGGAGCCCATTCAAGTCTGCATTCTTTCTGTCTGTTTCACGCCCCGGGTGAGAAAGCACTTCAGAGTTCACAGCTGTTGGTCAAGCTGCCTCTACCCTCAATTGTTTCCCTGATGCTGAATATTCCCACAGCAACATAGCAGATGTTAGCATCGTGCAAAAGAGGAAAAGTCTTGGTGATATGACACTGAAGAGCCAGGTCTGGCCAGTGTCAAGTTTCCTTAAGGCATCGTTTTGAACCACTAGTGGTGCTGTAGAGCAGTACATTTGATGAGTGAGCTCCTATGTGTTTTACCAGCACATGTACACTATAAACTAAGGAGTGACATTATATACACTTCTGTCGATTTCAAACGTGTAGATGCCAAAACAGAGTACAAAATGAGAGTGAGAGAGACACAATATCCTTGTACACCCATGGTTGGCTCTAAAGTGGTGGCATAGGGTGACAGCAGCCACCCCAGTGTGGTGTCAAATGCTGTCAAATTTAATTCATTTATTTAGATTAATGGAAATTAATGTAATGGTCTGTTCTGGCCACAGTTTAGACTAAGTGACAGGCTCAAGTTAAAAGAGAAAAGACCAGTATTTAAAAATAAAACTATTTATTGATTTCTAATGCCTCCTTTGGATCTTTACTAACGTGAACAATAATGTAATGTTTTTGAGTTCAAATATTTTCGTTTGGTGGCTTTTCAAACAAATATTGATTTATGTGATTGTTTGCAATTAAATTATATGTTAATATGTATTTCTGCCACTCCCTTAAAATCTCGATGCCACCCCATGAAAGTTTCTCTAGATCTGCCTGTGTACACCCAACAGTTTCAAGTATACCGACACATGATAGAGGTAATGCGTCTTAAAATATGCACCAAAATATAAGAGCTTATAAAAACAGCACAGGTTTCAAAACTGTTTTAAAAGGCTTTGCAAATGTTTTGACATAGCAAATGTTTGAACAGGTTTGATACAAACATTTTTGTGAAAAATATTGACTGTAAATCAAATTAATTTTGTCTGCTATAAATGACACTTCTGAACCATGGCCTTCTGACTGTAAATGGCACTTTAAGTGAAAGTTATTTTAAAGATGCTGAATAATGGTGACTAATTTATTCAGTAAGATTCCGTTGGCAATGCTGCTATTGACCCAAGAACTGGTGACAGGAACTGGGCCTACACCTTCACATACAGTCGCATAATAGATTTCAGATGAAAAATTACAAACAAGCAGCATTAAAATCAATTCACAACCTGCTACTCAGCATCTCTGTCAGGTTTTCAGTGATTTAATCATTTTGCTTCAGTGGGGTTCAAGAAATTGAGCTCTCGAAATAATATGCCACATTCAGGTCAGATAAACCAATCAGCTATTAGAGAAAAGCAAAAAAACTAAACATGGACAAACTTCCTTCTCACCATAATGAATTCTGTTTATATGTTTGTACAGAACCGAAGGGAAAAACACATATTTTAGTGAGGTGTTGGCTCACAGGAACATTTCAGAAGAAGTAGAACTGAAAAACTGAAGAAAGAGTCCATAGAGAGGTCTCCAAGAACAAGGACATATGGATATGTTCTTGTTCTAGGAACCAGCAAATACGATAGAAAGTCAGAGAGTAAAAATGAAGAAGATCACAGAGTAAAGTGGAAAGATCTGAATGCATAAATTAAGTTAAAGCAGTAAAGAATCTCACAGAGCAAAAAATACAGAGAATTGAGGTGCATATGTATATATAAAAAAAGTCTTTGAAGATAAGCATTTTTTTTTAGCAGATTTTAATTGTAATGTCACAGAAATGCTATCTAAATTGAGATAAAGGTGTTACTCAAAGGCACAAGTTATTAGCACTGGAGAAAATCCATAATAAACCAAGATTTTAACTCTATCAGACAAAGAAAAGTACTTAAACAAACATTTGACGTGTTAGTCTTAAAAGTCCAGTGTGTAACAATAGCCAGTCTCTTAACACCAATCCAAAAGCTTTAGGGTGCGGCCTTAGGGTGCTGACATGGCGGTGACGTGCGGAAGTCGTGTGCTTGTAAACACCGCTGTACAATCAAGTCAAATCAAGTTTATTTATATAGCCCATTTAAAACAACCAGAGTTGGCCGAAGTACGAATTGAAGTGTACGGCACATCAATATCAAATAAAGGACATTGAAAAGTAGTAAAAAAGGCACATAACACCAATAAATGACAATGAAAGAAACTATATATGATATATATAAATATAAAACAGAGACAAAACAAGAAGACCAAACAATATAAAATAAAAGATTAAAAAATACCAAAAAAAAAAAACAGCCAATGAAA